TTATTATTATTATTATTTTTCTTGTCTTAGACCGACAGATTTTTTTTGAGCACTTGCAACCGATACTACAGATTAAAAAACTGCAATAGAAAAAAAAAATCAAAATGTTCGACTCAGTACATTTTACCAGCTGGCCGCCACAATATCAACTACATCAAAAAGGCCTGTCCTAACCACTCACCTTCCTGGTCGTCCCCATTTACTGCGGTTTCAAGACGAATCTCAATGACGGCTGAGAGGGCGCTGCTATTTGCCTCTTTGTGAGACAGCACAGACGCCATTTTGTCAAGGGCTTGCGTCACCGTGGCCCGTGATTGGCTGCTACCACTGAGCTTTGCAGACTGGGAAATATTAAAGTATGTTTGTTTTTTTAAATCAACGATTTTGAAAAGAAAAGCATGGATTTCATGAACGTAAGTCTAAGCTGTTTACCATTTACCAGTCATTAAAAAAATCCAACTACAGCACAACCCCCCCCCCAATTACCCGGTACCAATTTTCATATTTTGCTTGAGACATCAGGTCCAACGGGAACAATGTGATAATAATACGTTAGGGTAAAATAGCTGGAGATCGTTGCTTACTTAAGTCTGCAAATAGCTTGACCCAAAAGCAAAAAACATTTGATTTACCGTTACCCGAGTAGGCAGGAAGAATTGTCTTTATTTCGCCCGCTAAAAAAAGGATACAAATACACCGCAACGAGTAAGACGTTGACGTGGCTCCTTTAGCATTGTACTTGCTATTCTTTCAGTCAAAACATTCTCGTAAACCAAAGCCCCCCCCCCTAAAAAAAACACCAAAAAAACATCACCCCCCCCTTTCCCCCTTTAAAAAATATTTACGAAACATAATTCTGTAAAGGTTTGTCTTCAGAACTTCCTAGTATATTTGCAAATAAAAGGACGAGTGATAAATAAAAACCCACCGGCTTCAAGGATAGCCCTATTTTCTGCTCTCTTCAAGCCCCTTGTCACTGACCATGTACCTGCTCTCGCTTACTTTGTTTCAAGGTACTGCCATCCTATAAATAAATCATTGATGGTCAAGGACCCACAAAATGTACTTTGTATCTACGAGATACACCAACAAAAACAAAAGGAGTCCCTCAGCTCTTATGTTCCCTCGCCTCATTCTCATTATACGCTCACGCTTGACCACTTGTCAGTTTAACCATTGCTTGACCACTGGTCAGTTTATCCATTGCTTGTCCACTGTCACACTAACTGTTGCTTGACCACAGTCACACTAACCGTTGCTTGACCACAGTCACACTGACCATTACTTGACCACTGTCACACTTATCATTGCTTGACCACTGGTCACTCTGACTATTAGTTGACCTCTGGTCATCATTTAACTTGAAATGAGGGAACATAGAGCTGAGGGAACATAGAGCGCTTTTGTCAGGAGAATTAGCTCTATGTTCCTTCAACTCTATGTTCCCTCCGCTCTATGTTCCTTCAACTCTATGTTCCCTCAACTCTATGTTCCCTCAACTCTATGTTCCCTCAACTCTATGTTCCCTCCGCTCTATGTTCCTTCAACTCTATGTTCCCTCAAGTAAAGAGACAAACGTTATGTAATATGACACGGCATTATGTCATGGCACTTGGCATGATATGACATGGCATGTAACTTGACTTGAGGGAACACAGAGCAGAGAGAACTTAGAGCTGAGGGAACATGGAACTGAGGGAACATAGAGCTGAGGGAACATAGAGCTGAGGGAACATAGAGCTGAGGGAACATAGAGCTGAGGGAACATAAAGCTGAGGGAACATGGAACTGAGGGAACATAGAGCTGAGGAAACATAGAGCTGAGGGAACATGGAACTGAGGGAACATAGAGCTGAGGGAACATAGAGCTGAGGGAACATAGATATGCTCCCAAACAAAACGACATGTCGGAGAGAACTGACCAGTGTGATCTCCACCGTGTCCCTCTCCTGGGGTTTGATTGCACACATGACGTAGAGCGTTTCGTCCTTGACCAGACCCTTGAGCTGTGGCAGCTGGCGCAGACTCTGACAGATACTCTCCACCGAGATACCCTAGGGACAATACAAGTGGTGACCTTAGCCATCATCATCATCATCATCATCATCATCATCATCATCATCATCATCATCATCATCTTGATCGTCGTCATCATCATCATCATCATCATCAGCAGCAGCAGCAGCATCGTTGTAAACAGAAAATAATATAGGTTGAGACTTGGTAGACTTAGGATTTTCAAAATTATATTATATAAATGTATATATAAATTATATAACTCCATCATCATCATCATCATCATCATCATCATCATCATCATCATCACCAATTTAACAATTCCCCTTCTTTGTTTTGTTTGTCTTGAAATGTAACAGTTTGCACTATCCATGTCAACACATTTCAAAATCATAAGATTATTCGGAGTCGTTATCAAGATATTCGAAGAATTGCATTTTTAAAAGTTTGACATCTGAAAATCAAAATTTTTTAACATCAGATTTCTCAAAACTAGGTACTGAGCAGAGAAAACTTTGTAATTTTTATGGTATCGAAGTGATGACAACAATGATAAAACGGCCCAAGACGTAGGTCTACATGGTCTCTGTCGTAAGTAATACACTTAGATCGTACAACTTTTGAATTCTTTATATTCTTACACCCTCCCAAATCTAGATCTTAGATGCACCTTTCAACATCACCAAATAAATACAGTTTAAAACTACGCATTTTCTTGTTTTTCATGATCCATGATAGGACACACACACACACACACACACACACACACACACACACACACACACACACACACACACACAGAGAGAAAGTTAATCCATTTCTGATGTCTCTTCCCATTCTCAGCAGGGCAATAAAGTATTATCTTATCTTATCTTATCCTATTACTTACCTCATCTTATCATATTTTATCTTAACTTACCTTAATATCTTATTTTATGCCTTATCTTATTTCTGAACTTATCTTTATTCTTATCTTATCTTTATTCTTATCTTATCTCATCTTAATGTTTATCTTAATTCTTACCTTAATTCTTGTCTTGTCTTGTCTTGTCTTGTCTTGTCTTGTCTTGTCTTGTCTTATCTTATCTTATCTTATCTTATCTTATCTTATCTTATCTGATCTTAATGCTTATCTTAATACTTATCTTATCCTTACCAGTGGCATCTTGGTCTTGTCGAACATGAGGATGATCTTGGCGCAGTTGCTGCCCAGGTGCGCCTTGTTGGGCACACAGCCCCACTGATGTCCCGGCCCCGACACCTCCTTGACACTCTCCACGTCCCGGCATTCACCGTACGGCACGCAGGGCGGGGTCATGCACGTCACGTGGGTTTGAACCACGCACGTCTGCTGGGTAGCGCACGGGAACACCGGCGTAGTGCTGTTGGGCTGGCTCAGACAGTTCTTTGGACCGCACCACATCTAAGAAGAGGAGAAAGAGGTTGGGCGCTTGGTTAGCTGGCGTTCGGGTGTGTGGGTTTTTTGCTCCTTTCTTTTTTCTTCTTGTTTTTTTTTTTAGCAAACATCAATCGTCATTATCTTCCCTACTTTTTGTCCTGTGTGTGATTTTCTCTAGAAATGCTGTAATGTTCGGCACGTATATCACCTAATTGTGTTGCAAGTACCGTACCGCAGAACTTTTACTAAAACTGAAAAAAAAAACAAATTAGGGAATTCTGTCGTTCTCGACATCTCCAACTTCTATCTGTGCCTGATCTTACAAAAAAAAAAAAACCACACACCAAAAAACCCCCCAAAAACCAATTAAAACAAAAGGAAACACTCCCTCAATCAGATGCAGGGGAGAGAGATAAATTGGGCAAGTTTTTAATCTAAGACAACACTCTTCAATGCGAAAGGAATTGTGGCTATTGTTGTTGTTGTTATTGCTGAAGATGATGACAATACTGCACGAAATTGTTACTGTTGTTAATGCTGCTGTAGAAAAATAAAGTAAAACGTAAAAAATCAACAATTCAATTTATACTTCTCGCGTAACAATGCTCACAAAAAGCTTTTAAATTAAACCAGATGTTCATTTTGTCTACCCCTCTACACATTAAAAAAATCAAAACAACAACGATAAAAAACAATGGAATATTCCTATTTTGTATCCCTCCGCACATTTCAAGAAAAACACACACAACCCCC